ACATACAAGATGCATTCAGCCTAAAAATGTAGTGGCAAATGAATTGGGTGAAGAAGATGTTGTAGAGAGGGTTGAAAAAGAAAACATATCTTCATAGAAGAAAACATCTCTAGAAACTAAGAATTGGCGTGTTTTAAGGTTATATAATCGATATCCTTTAGTGCTAGATTTGTAGCCAAGGAAAACACATTGATTGGCTCGAGAAGAAAACTTCAATTTATGGCCAAGTATAGTGGAGTAACACAAACAACCAAAAACTTTTAGATTGGCATAAGATGAAGGCTTATTGAAAAGCATTTCAAATGGTGTCTTATTGCTAATGAGTGGAGGTGGAATTTTGTTAATCGGGTGGACAACGTGCAAGATGCGATCCGCCTAAAAATGTAATGGCTAGTGAGCTTGAAAACAAAGAGCTCTTGCTACATTAAGAGTATATTGGTGTTTCCATTCCACTATGCTATTCCGTTGGGGTGTTTTAGTGTATGCGAGTTTGATGAATGATGCCTTTACAAGAAAAAGAGGAAGGCAAGTTGAATTATTGCCCATTATCGGTTCTAATAGTCCGGATTTTAGTGTTATATTGAGTTTCTAGAAGAACACAAAATTAGTCTACGAACTCCCTAGTTTTAGATTTTTTATGCATTAGATAAGTCTAGGTTGCTCTACTAAAATCATCCATAATTGTGAGAAAAAAAGAATGGCCATAAATGGAAGGAATGGACATGGGACCCTAAAAGCCCATATGGACTAATTGAAAATAATGATCGGTAACATAATGACTATCCGGAAATGGTAACCTTTTTTACTTAGCATAATGACAAATTTCACAATGTGAAATAGTTACGATACAAGGAATTTTAGAATGAGAATCATGTAACATTTTCAATCTAGAATCGGACAAATGACCCAATCTATAATGCCACAAGGCATCGATCTTGTGAGAGACGAGTTGAGCAAATGCTAGGTATGATGACAAAATGAACAAAAGGAAAAGAAGAATGTTTCAGCAGGTATAAACCATGTCTCTCCCTAGCTAAACCAATCATCTTCTTGGAATGTAGGTTTTGAATAGCATAAGAAGAATGGAAAAATAACAAACAACAATTCAATGATTTTGTTAATTTGTTTGCCGATAAAAAGTTAAAAGAAAATATGGGAACAAATAAAGCATCTATCAAAACAAGCAGAGTTAGACAAAATGACGAGTGCCTTTATGTGTGACTATAACCTATGGATTATTGGGTAGTTGGACAAGTAATGTGTGTGATGCAATGATATGAAGAAAAGCATGACAATGAACAAATGATATGGTCCGTTGCACCGGTGTCAAATATCCAAATAGATGCATTAGTAGTGCGAGCAAGATTACAAGAGGAGAAATGAATACTTGTAAAATTAGGGGCAATGAAAGAGCTACTATTAACGGTGTTAATAGATGTTCTATTTGTATCGATTGAAGACACGGTAGTGGATTGATTAGGTAAAAGAGATATCGGACTTATATATTGGTCCCAAGTGAGGGTGAAGATTGTGTGGAGAGTCACCATGTCTACTCGCTATTAAGCAAAGCAATATCTCGAGGACAATGAGAATCGAGACAACGAAGCAATGTGGTTAGCGAGTGGCTAAAGAACTACGCTTATTATTTCGAAACTAGGAGGGAAGCCATGTTTTTTTGTAACGAGTGATCCACGGTATGGCCTACTCCATCATAATGAGTACAAAAAGGCTTCTTCCCCTCTAAACGTGAATTAGCACCAGAATGATACTCGACACGTGATCCAAAAGAACAATTACCAGATTTTAAAGAACTAGAATGAGGAACTCCTTTACTATAGAACAAAGTTGAGGTATGATTAGATCCGAGTAGAAGCGAGCAGGAACTCCAAGTTGTCATTCATGTTGAACAACGAGAGTAAATACACGATTAATGGAGGGTAAATGATCAATTAGCATGATCTAAGATCTAACCGTAGCAAAGTTGTCAATCCTCTCAAAAATCGAATGACATGATCATTCTTTTGAAATTCTTTGACTTTGTTAAGTACAAGCACAAGAACATCTTGGAGACAATCACAAGTAGGTATAACACATAAATTTGTAAACTCATCCTAGAGGGTCTTCAATTGAGTATAATAAGCACTAACCGAGAGAGTTCCTTGATTTAACGTATGGATATCCTCCTAGAGTTCAGCAATGCAAAAATGATCACCATGAGAGAATCGTTCCTTGAGATCTAACCGAGAGATCAATGGCGGTGTTAATCCACAAGACACTTTGCGTGATATTTGGAGACAAAGAATGAAATAACCATGACAAAACCATGGTATTACAACGTTCCCAATGACAAGTAAAGAGGATCAAAATCCGATGGAACAAGAATGCTTCCATCAATGAATTTCGGTTTGTTTTTTAAAAATATTTTTAAATATTTCAATTAATTTAGGGGAACAAAATAAAATGCAAACAATAATGATTTTGAAAAGTCTTTTTATTTCATATGTATTTTTTAGTATTTCATTATCATGTGTGTTTTTATTTTTATTTTTAAATATATTTTATGGATATTTTTTATTTTAATAAATAAAAAAAGAAACATACAAGTGATGCCACTGAAAAATCTAATTAAAAGATTCAATAATTAGAAGAATGCAAGAATTTATGTTGAAAAAGTGATCGAGCAATTTATATTGTAAGAAAGCTTAATTTAAGCTACTAAGTATATAACCATTAATTAAAAAAAAAACCCAATTATTCTCGACTTGATAATTCTTTTATTATTATTATTATTTTGTATTGAGGTGAACATTAATCTACATCATTTGAAATCTAATTATAAGTTTATATAGGTGAATGACAAAGTCAAGCGAAAAATTATTTGATGTCTTTATGGTACTTTAAAAAAAAAAATTTTCATTTTTTTAGCAAAGAATTATGGTCGATTTTGAACGAGACATAATCCGTTGAAATAATGTAAATTAATGGATGATAAATTACCAACTATTAAATCCTTGTTATTCATACTTTTTTTCCCTTATAAATGTCAATCTATTGATAATGTCTATATTTCATTATTGTAAGAACATCACTCTACATTTATTAACTATATATTAATTATCAAACTTCTATTAATGCCAAAAAAATAAAAATGGTTATTAATCTTTTTTTTTCCCCTTTTGTAAGGTTGTGTGGAGAATCATTATTCTTTTACAATAATGATAACTTTTGATAACAAATTTTTTTTTTAATAAACAAAAAGAAAGATCAAAATTATGAGAATTATCATCATTTTTTGTGAAGTTGCATAAAAATAAAAATAAAAAATAAAAATCATTTATTATTAGAAGGAAATTGATTTTGAGCAAATAGCAAAAAGTAGAGAATGAAAATAAAAATAAAACAAAAAAAAGGTGGGGCCAGATGTAGATCTTCTATTTTTTATGTATAATTTATAAAATGTTTGTAATATTTTATAAGAATTTTTTTAAAAAAAAAGAAATCTAGATTTGAGGGGTTAAAAATACTTATAAATTTTTTTTTAAAAAAAATAATATATATATATATATATATATATATATAATTAACAACGAAATATCAAAACGATATCGTTTTGACATTTCAAGTGAGTTGACATTTACAAATAACGATGATTAATGAAATTGAATCAATGTTGCTTGAAAGCTAATAATTTGGTGTTCAAGTTATGTCATTTTATACTAAGGACCTAAAATTATGCAATCGTAATAGAATGAAAGAAAAATTTATCATTAAACCACCAACAAACTCTCATCATAAATAGGAACACTTGGACACCAAAATTTTCACATTACATGGCTGGAATGGAGGTCATTTGGATTTTCTCTCCTGCCTTCTCTCTTTCGGTTCTCCCTCTTTACAGCCATAGACTGAAATGTATGATTACATATGAAGTTCAGAGACCATTCAAGGAACACCCCAAAAACAAAAACCAAAAGCGAATATACACTTTTTAAGAACTCGGTTAAATTATTTTGAGAAAACAATATCCTTTTACACCAAAACAACTGAAAAATGAACAATATAGCGCAGTATAGTACTGTAAATCTACAGTAAAACACCATCTTTTTAAAATTTTTCTTGTTTATTTAATAAGCGAATGCTCAAGTCTATTGTATCGCTTATGTTAACACAGTTATCTATTTGAAGATGATGGTTATTTATGGGACAGCGAGAGAGAAAAAAAACCCACATGATAAACCACAAATTATTCAAATGACAGTGCCGTGCTGCATAGAATAAACAAAGAGCATTTCAATGAAGCGAGCATTTAATCAGACAAGGGAGAGAATATACATAACTATTAGGAAAGCCCTTTGACGGGTTTGTGATGTATTCACGGTTTGGACAATAACCAAGCCAGGGTATATACATAACAGTTTAATTTGGCCAAAACCAAGCCAAGGTATACGAGTTTGTTCTGCGCACAAGGAACAGATCACTGAAAGCTACGTTATGTTCCACCCATTAACATTCATAAAATTGAGGCAGGGGCAAAAAAAAAAAAAAAAAAAACTACAATCCACACCACATTCGTTTGAATAATAGACATTTGGATTTTACAGGGAAAAAAAAATAATAACCCACTTGACAGCATTCTTGATTTTAAGCTAGCCAATTATTGCGCAGTAACCTGAGCAACACCTGCAGAGAAAAGATATTCAAAATAAAATAAGTCCAACGCCAATATGCACATTAGGTAAGAGGAGCAAAAAGCATTACGCTGGGTTGGCTTCTTAGCATGAACATGTGAAGAAATTAAAATAATATTTATATTAGTACTTTTTTGACCCAACAAGTCTACTTACCATCCTTAATTTTATAAAGCAACTTGCCATTAAAATAATCCTGTCTGCATACACTCGAAATCAATGTTTTTCAGCAGATCTGTAAAGTCAAGACTGGCTAGCTAAGATAATTATAAGAGCTGGGACCAAAAAGGTTCGTAGCACAGATCATCTTCAATGTCAGATATCTCATCTTCAATGTCGGATATCCCAGCTTCGCTGAAACAGCTCCTCACCAAACTTTCCAAGGAGAAGGTACGTCCCACCCTAGCTCCTTCAATTTTAATGCGATCCAATTAACTTTGAGATATCTTTATCTGTTTCTTCCTTTATCTGCACATGAATTTCTAATCAATAATTTCTTTTTCTCCTTTTTCGGTTGTTAATAATAAGTTTTTTTTTTACATAAATTAACTGTTTCTTGTCTTCTCTTTTCTTTCAACTCCTGTTGATGAATTAATTAGTTTTTATTTTATTTTCTAGAGTTGTTGAATTGGAACATGTGTTGGCAACTTGGCACTAATTATTTTGGATTTCTTGTTTGAATTAATTATGTCCTTGTCCCATATCTCGGATGAGCAAACTACTAAGCTTGACAATGTTCTTAATGAAAAAGATCTAGAAATTTTGCCAGTAAAGAATTCTCTTAACACCATGTTTGAAAAAATGATTTCACTTGAGAGCAGGTTGCTTCCAAAGAACAGGAAGTAGAAATCTTGAAGGGGATGCTAGCTCAAAAGGACGAGGAAATCGACCGCCTTAAGGACAAGCTGCGTATAAGAGATTTGAAGGCTGATATTCTAAGAGCTGACATCGAGTCAGCTTGGGAAAATTTTGACACTTCTCAGACAATTAGAAGTCCCAAAATTAGGTCTAACAAGGAGATCAAGCATGGAAAAGAGCCTAGAGAAGAGACAAAGGGGATGGCTCCAAAGCAAGATGGGTTAAAATTCTCCAACATGATCTCTCTCCCTCTCCTTCCAGCTCCTTCCCCCTTTCCCACTTTTACTGGCTCTCCATGCCCTTCGTACCTATCAACAGCAGAATCAAACATTGTAGGAGCAACAATGTCCACAGAACTACATGGAAAGTAACCTACCACCTGGCCACTCTTTATGTTGATCAAATTGTATTTATTACCTATGTAATTCGTTGAAGGTTGTACCGGAAAAACATAATAATAAGATAGTAAAATTCCTTGTCTGACTATGGACATTTTGCGTAATTGTACAAATTTAAAACCAAAATATATTTCTATGTCAGTGTGTAAGGAATCCGTGTAATGAGTGTGAAAAAACTCATGCTATCATATATATATATATATAGGGCCTCATCTGTAAAAAGTTTATTGGATTGCTCCGAATTTCCATGGAAAAGCTGCATTATTAACTTTCTTACGCTTTTTTCCTGAATTTTAAAATGCAGTCCGGATGATATTGCCGAAGGAACTGAAGTATCCAATCAATTGCAGCAAAAAGAAAAGTTTCACGAAGCAACGATGGGGTGGCTTCCTAGTATGAACATGAGAAGAAATAATATATATATATATATATCATACTATGAGAAGAAATAATATATATATATATATATATATATATATATATATATTATTTCTTCTCATAGTATGATATATATATATATATATATATATATATATATTATTTCTTGTCATGTTCATACTAGGAAGCCATATATATATATATTACATAGATCTGCTAAAAAACATTGATTTCGAGTTATATGAAGACGGGATTATTTTAATGGCAAATTGCTTTATAAAATAAAGGATGATAGGAAGACTTGTTGGGTCAAAAATTTTATATATATATTGTGACTTCACATATGTTGATCATATGTCCTTTGCAATTAATTGTAACAGGACTCATACGTACTCCGAAGCACAATCAACTTCGAACTTGATCATCCTAGCAATGAAAGACCTCCTCTAATCTTTCCAAGGTCATTAACTTAATTACGTCAAACATAGAATGACATGAAAAACAATATGTTGATCATCGAAGCCAGAAAAGAGAGAACATATAGTAAGTTTTTAATCAGCAATTAGGTTGTGTTTAGGTCTCATTGGTTAGTTTTTTATAATACAAATTATAATGTTTTATAAATTAAGATGACAAAATTAATGATTGACCCTCCTAATTTTATAAATTATAAAATATTTATAATATTTAATAAAAAAAATTTTAAAAAAATCAAAATTAGGGAGTTAAAAATATTTATAAAATATATTTATATAATTTAAAAAATTTATATAATATTTTTTAAGAAAAAAATTTTCTAATAAAAAAGTTCAAGATTTAAGGGGTTAAAAATATTTTTAAAATGTTTTTCTAAAAAACAAACTATAATTAACGAGTTAAATGCCAAAACGATGTCGTTTTGGCAATTCAAGTGGGTTGATCGTTACTAATAACAACAATTAAAGAAATTTGATCAATTTTGCTCGAAAACTAATAGTTTGAGGTTCAAATTATGCAATTTGATACTAATTTCGCTACACGACATCGGACGGGGCTCCCTAAAAATTTATTTACAATTAGATTGGTATTTACAAGTTTATTTACGAGTTTGGAGTCGCCACCTAATGTTGAAGGAACTAGGAACCTAAACGGACACTCGGTTCGGAGATTCTATGATAAGGAATTGGTTACGCTTGTGAAAAGATATCGATCACCCAAAAGCACTCTTTCCGAAGAAAGGTACCACGTCCGGTTTAGCTCCGAATTTATCTCCTAAAATGTTTTATTTATGACAAATTATTTTCTGATTTTTAAACAAATTGAATTTTTTAGTTTTGGGCATAGCATCGTATTGAATCGAACGTAGGTCCTCTTCATCGGGTGACACGTCGATTCAAACATCGGATCCACTAAAAAGCCTTGACACAACCGGCATGTCGAAGGACGTCTTAATTACAAGGTGATTTTTTGTGACGTCGGTCCCTATCAAATAGGAGACTTCGTCGAAAATTCTTAACAATCGTTTTTATAATGTCGATCCCTATCAAATAGGATACTTCGTCAAAAATATTTATTCTTTTTATTTTTAATGGCGTCAGCTCCTACCAAGTAGGAGACTTCGTCAAAATGTTTAGGCATTTTTTTTGTGATGTCAATCACTATCAAATAGGAGACTTTATCAAGATTTTTATAATTTTTCTATCAATACATTTTAAAGAAAAAAATTGAAGTAACAATTCTAAATTAATGTAAGAAAAAAATGACAAGGAATAAAAATAAACATGCTGAAAAAAATAAGAGTAAAAAAAAAATCATCCTAGGCCCAAACCATTAATCCATAATTTATTTTTTTCTACCCATTCCCTTTTTCCTTTTTTTTTTTTTTTTGGGAGAAAGCTCGGAATAGAGCTAGCCTTCTCGTTTTTTTTTCTTACTCGTGCTTTTGAAAAAAGGGTCACGGGCTGGATGCTAACAGTCCAGTCCCCCTCCTTTTTTTTTTCTTATGCAAATGAGCCGGGCTTGACCGATCGTAGTCTAGCCCAAAGCATTTTTTTATTTATTTTAGGGAACCGAGCTGAAACTTAAGCCCACAAATAGGTTCCATTTTCTTATTTGGCCTTTTTTCGAATCAAACCCCCCTTATACAATTCCGACTCTTTCTCTCTCATGTTCTTGTTGTTCTTCATTTTCTCTCTCTAGTTCTTTTCCGAAATTAAAGACCCCATTTTGGACGAATGATTGCTAACATATGATGTTTACGCTCTTGTTTCAACCACAAAAAAAAAAAAACATTAATACTTGAAAAAGTAACTAAACAAATATTTGGAATTGGCAAGCCATCAAAACTGGAAAAAAACAAAACAAATTAAAAAAAAAGGGAATAGACCTTGCGTGCTTTTTGAAAGGGTGCAAATTGAAACAAAAAATGGTTTTAGAAGGCTAAAAAAAATTGTTTATTGATTTTGATATGCCCGAACGAGATTTAAAACCAAAAAACTCGGCTCTACAATTGAAGCCGAATGAACTTCAACCTAGAAAGTTGAAGAACACGAACCCGAGCGCAAAGATCAAAAGCCCAAGCAAGCAAGGACGGTAGCAAGATTTCCCGTAAATGTGATGAACCGAAACAAAAGGGTTTGACTCCAAATCTCACACGTAAAGGTGAAGGAAAACGTGAAGATAAAAACTTAACCCCGGAAACACCAAACAAAGAAGAAAATAGGGCTAGCAGATTATGAATTGAACCCAAGAACACCAAGAACCCAAACCCGAAACCCAAAAAGCTCGGCCGATTAACAAATCAAAAATCAAGCCTTTTGTTTTCGATTTTCAATCCCTCTCAACCCGAATTCTTCGCTTAAAAAAAAATCCCCCCTTTATGAAATTCAAAATGTTTTATAGCCTAAAATTTTCTAGAATTTCTCCTAGAATCAAATCTCAAATCCTAAATATTTTTTATCAAAATTTTTCCTCTTTAATTCATGATTAATGCAAAATCAAAACGAGAAAATTGCTTGATTTTCCGTTGGTATTAATTACATCCAATAATCATTATAAATGCAAAATCAAAACAGAAAATTTGGAGGATTTGGCGGATTTCTCCCAAAGATTTTCGGAGAGAAATTAGAATTAGAGTGGACGACAGGTCACCATCTCCACTTTAGTCCCGTCGTTCGCTCCAAAAATTCAAAGTGGTCCCTATGCATTTCAATTTTCCACGATCACGCCCTTTTGTGGTATAATTTCAACACAATCTTATCAATTAGGTCCCCGTGAGGTGCAATTTAGGGCTTAAATTTTTTAATTGACTCGATTACACCCCTAATTACTTCAATTGTATCCCTAAATAAATTTTTTTTTGTGTTTTTCATCATTTTCTTTTTTTTTCTAGTAAAATTCAAATTAAAACAAAACAAAACATACATCAAATAAAAAGTAAAAATAAATATAAAAATAAAAATAAAAATAAATAAAAACAAAAAAGGGTAAATTTTGGGTTATTACGAGTTACTCCTCTTTACAATGCTTATGGCGCAAAGTCAAGTGAAAAGAATGTTTTTCAATGACTTTGTTTAATAAGCTTGTAAAGAAAAGGTTTTTTTGTTTTTTTTTACAATGTATGGCCTTATTGTAAAAGGCAAGCATACCTTAGGAATTAAATGTGTAATGCATGGCCTTATTGTAAAGGGCAAACTACCTTAAAATTTAAATATGCAGTGCGTGGCCTTATTGTAAAGGGCAGACTTACCCTAAAAATTAAACCTCGCTATATGTGGCCTTATTGTAAAGGGTAGCTTACCCCGAAAATTAAACGTGCAAATGCATGGCCTTATTGTAAAGGGCGACCTACTCTAAAATTTAAACATGCAATGCGTGGCTTTATTATAAAGGGCGACCTATCCCGAAAATTAAACGTGCAAATGTAGGACCTTATTATAAAGGACAGACTCTACCCTAAAATTTAAACATGCAGTGCGTGGCTTTATTGTAAATGATAGCCTACCCTAAAAATTAAATATGCGATGCGTGACCTTATTGTAAAGGACAACCTATCCTAAAAATTAAACTTGTAATGTAGAGCCTTATCGTAAAGGGCAACCTATCCTAAAATTTAAACATATGGCAAAAATTAAACATGAGGTTTGTGGACTTATTGTAAAGGGCAGCCTACCCCGAAAATTAAACATGCAAATGCGTGGCCTTGTTGTAAAGGGCGACCTACCCTAGAAATTTAAACGTGCAAATGCATGACCTTATTATAAAGGGTAGCCTACCTTAAAAATTAAACATGCAAATGTGTGGCCTTATTGAAAGGGCGACTCTATCCTAGAAATTTAAACGTGCAATTGTGTGACCTTATTGTAAAGGGCGACTTACCCTAAAAATTAAACATGCGGAGAAAATTTAGCAATCCTCGCTAAATTGAGTTAATTGTCCTTATCCGAAAGTGATTGTTCAATTTTGGATTTCACACTTGAACGATGGTCTATTGTGAGGCGACCATACCCGAGGTGGATTTGTAAGGGTATTACTTCCTCGTTTCCTTTGTATCCGTTGGGATTGCAATGTGCTTGAAAATAAGCTCAACATACCGGTTAGTCAAGGTACCTATAAGA